TGATCCTTTACAAACATCAGAGGAACACTTTTCTGTGTGTGTCTCTGTGTAGTTGTTTGACAGCTGAAGTATATTAGCACAGGCACAGCTGATTTACAGTGGCTCTAATAACACACTGCCATCATACTTCAAACAAAGAGCCCAAAGACGCTGATCCAGTGACTCTTGTGTTTCTTAACCAGGGACAGCTGGAGGAGGATCTTTCAAAGGCCTCATGCTAAATGTCATGTATCACCACCAACCGACTGATGAGACAAGAAATTAGAAATTGCCCAAGGGCTGCTTGTAGAAACAGCAAATAAATTTTAAAGTGCCTTAATGTATTGAGTCTTGCAATTGATATAAAATGAATTAAGCATTGAGAAATTCTTCAATCTTAAAATCAGAGCAGGCAACAAAACAAAACTGTCAAATCTGGATACAGACCAAATCCATACAGAAACTACATCATTAAAACCACCTGCCTATTGTTGTCTTGGTCCTCCTCATGCTGCCATCCATGCAATGGTCTCTGGCACTATGACGTCAGCCTTCCATCTTTTGGGTGCTGTGGCTTTGTGTTACATGGACTTTAGTTCACTTACAAAAACCCTTACGATTTGTTCCAAAAGAGTGTTTTACATAAACAAATTCATTGATTAACATGTCTAGGAGGGCTTTGGAAATAGACAGCCATACACTATGATCACTATAATAAGAATATAGTTGAGTGTCCTACGTGCAGCTCAGTGTTTTGGTGATTAACAAGAAGGTCCTGGGGTGAATCCACTGGCCAGCTGAGGCCTTTCTGTGTGGAGTTTGCATGCTCACCTCATGTGTCTCTAAGTTCTCTCCTGGTACTCTGGCTTTCTCCCACAGTCCAAAGGAATGCATGTTTGGTTAATTTTGTTTTTCTAAATTGGCCGTGGGTGTAACTATGAGCATGTAGGTTCTTCTTAGACAAATTTTAAGGGGCATGAACACATAGCCATCGTTTGTGCACAGGACTGAGCTTCGACCTTTGCAAGTGACCTCTCCACCGAGCCGAATGAAGATTTAAATTGAGCGCAGTGGGTTGACAGTTCTGTCTGCTATCAGGCAAACACTGGATTAGTTATTTTCTCCAATATATTCACTTAAAAGTTTATTAAATTTTTTAAACTCTGACTGGTCCTTTAAAATATACCATACCAGACAATAGATCAAATAAAAGATATCTCAAAGTCAATAAATCCCCTTCAGATCAGCTGATTTGAAATATATCAATCTAGGACTATGCCACACAATATTCATGGCGCATTTAAAAATCACCAAAAAAAAAAGAGGCTGCTGACTCAAACAGAGACAATCAATTTGATGTTACAGTGCTGAATTTTATCAATGATTTTAATCTGCAGAGCTCTCATTAGACGTCTGAGTGAATTAAGAACCTGTGGTTTTTGCATGCTTTAAAATAGCAGGTCAAACTCAGGGAAACAACAGGGCCTTTAGAAACCAGTAAAGCATCGCAAGGACACCTGTGGGTTAGTAGCTTTCTCAAAAGTCAAGCATATGCATACGATTAAAGGAGATTGCATGAAGAAAAAAAGGCAAACAAAGTTAAAATTTGTCATGCAGTGCTCCTTCACTACTTGGAAATATGGCTGATACTAATGCTAAGCGTATGGAATTTCGCTCTCCCCTTCAGGGGCCCATCAGGGACCCACTGTGCACTGTGCTGTCATTTACAGTGGCATTTTTAAATGTCACATGACCACGAGACACAGGATGTGAATTGACAGTGTGGTGTGTGCAGACAGATGCATGCTGTTTTTGCAGTGCTAGACCACTTTGCATTTCCTGGCATTAGCAAATTATTAAGCTTTGGTGACGTCTTCCTTTGGGCTTTCTGTTGGAGATTTATAGAGAAAGGGGAAGTTACACCACTTGTGCCTTTTCCCGGTCTGTTGTCTGCCGTGACACCGGTGCTGAGCCCTACGAGCACCTAGCGTTTGATAGGTTTAAAAATGACAGCACGCATAGCTACAGGAAACGGTCTTCACAGTAATATAATCGTTTTATTGATAACTGTGTCAAAGTCTGCAATATGAACTCAAGTTTAGTCTCCATCTGCGCTTAATCACAGACATAAGCTGTCCTTTTATTGTATTATTATCCTATTTGCTTTACACGTCTGTGGAACTACAATTGATTCAGATATAAGATGGGTGAAAATCTATATTTATTTTTTTATATTTCATATCTGAATCGTTTAAAAAGGAATGCTGCTTTCATAGAAATTAAGAGTCAAATGCACTTGATTAACTTACAATCAGCAAGTGTGACTACCTTTGTAATAGCAAAGGTTTTGACAGTCTGCTGGTCTGGACCATTCAGGTGCCAAAATATTCTCAGGAGTGGACGTCCAAGCAAAGGTTTGATCGTGCTATGCTCAGAGAAACTCCAGAAAACCCCCGATGTGATATCTCAGACTCTTAACATTTACCATGCTAGCTGAGGCCTGTAAAGTTCATGACAGCACAATTAGAAAAAGACTGAACAGTTTCTAGAAGAAAGCCATTTCTCTCTACAAAAGAACATGGCAGCATGTCTTAGGTTTGCAAAGTTGCATCTTCTAGAAATCTTGATCAGTGTCCTTTGGACATAATGCACAGCTCCATGTTTGGTGAAAAAGCAAACAAAGCATATGAGCACAAACATATCATGTCATCTATTAAGCATGGCGGTGGAAGGGTGATGATTTGGGCTTCCTGGAAAACAGAAAACAAGTAACTCTTAAATTATGCCTGTAGAAAAATGATTTGCTGGATCTGGATGCCAGCCTTATTCTGACATATATGCATGTATGTTGCTTTGTGCAGTACCTACTTCCCCTCTCAGAATTTAAAGAGAAAACACTCTGACGTGAGACTGCGAGGAAGAAGAGGAAGACATGTGCTGCATGGTCACGTCTCAGACAGTTAGCGTGAAATTTATGTAACCTGGAAATTTCATGAGCTACAGAGAAGTTACAAAGCAATTAGCCAGAGTAATTATTACATAGAACACCAACCTCACTGTGGAAATACACAAAATATGAAATTAGTTTCATTTTGAGTTTCCTCTAAATCATATTGCACAGTTTGACTCACAAATCAGTCGAGGGATGTAAAAGTTTACAATGAAGTGTGCGAATTCTAAACAGAAACTGGACCGTTTCTTGTATGCAAAAGCATATTGTTTTTTTATGCGTGTGTGTATGTGTGCGTGTGGGCATTCATGTGCATAAAATGGAGTGGAGGAAGTGTATTTTTGTCACAAACAAGTTGACCAATCGTCTTCTCTTTAGTGCTCTGTAAATTACAGTAAACCTGGGTCCAGTGCCACAGTTGAGCTGGTATGAGGCGACAGTATAAAAAGAAGGAAGGAAAGAAATTATTTGTCTTGGCTCGTGTGTGTGGAGCTGCAAACATTTTCAAACTTTGCATACTCACCAAAACTGAGAAATGTTAAAGTTCATTTGTGACACCATCTCAACACGTGTGCCTTTACAAATAAAGTAGATAACACACCCTTATAATGAGTGCAACCTATAATCCATGCTAATTAACTGGGTTTACCTTAGAAAGATGAATCAAAACCAGTGTGTAAGCTCTAAAATGTGCATTACACAGTGAGGGATTTCAACCACAGGTGTGAAACGTGGAGAAAACTATAGGTGTGGCAACAAAAGCAGCTTAGAGAGTCTTTTTTTAACCTTTTGTTTCAAGGGTTTTAAACACACCTACTGAAGAGAACATAAGGAGAGGCTGTGCGTCACAATGAATAAGAGACAAAAAAAGACTAAATGACTTCCTTAACTACAAATGTATACATCTGTAACTACCCTCGTTTTGCTCACTTTGAGCTTAAGTGTTGTTTTCCACAACAGGTCATTGAACCCTGAAGGGGGGGGAAAAAAGCCTCCAAAAGCAAAAGCATGTTGTCTGCTGCCCTCTTGTGGTGGACTGCTGGCTATGTTTCTACCCACGTTGGGTCTGGCAGCACAGTTAATGAAAGGATTTGGAATTTGGGTTTTAGGACAGAATACGCATTAAGTCATACAAACCAATAGAAAAACAAAACAAAAATGCTGACAAATGCGATAAAAACAATTAGATGATTTCTATTTAACAATTTTGGTCACTTTTCCTCACAACCACTGACACCAAAAACGGGTGGATGCAACAACAAATTAATTGAAACACTGCCTAAGCAGTGAAAATAGTAACAACTTGGACAAAGTTACCATGTAACAAACCAAAGGCGTAACGTCTGACTGATGGAGGAGCCAAAGTGTAGTTAAGCTAACGTGAACACGCCTAATCCCCTGACCTCTGACTTTGGTTGTCAGTGAAGACATTACAATAACAAAAAGGCATAAATTCCATATCTGAAATTCATTTTCAAAAGACAGCATATAACAAATTCAGTATTGATCCTTTCAGCGCTTCAAAGAAAGTAAAGTTCAAAAATATTTGATTCAATTGTTGAACTTTACTGGAAAAATTGCAATTTTTTCCAATTGTTCTGGCCTTTTGTATTCAGCTAATTTCAAGCTTTCCATGTTCATTCTTCTTCTTCTATCTATTGCTTGTACAGTTTCCATGCTGCTCCACTTCAAGGCTAAAGCTGTACACAGATATCTGCTTCGGGGCCTAGAACTGACTTGTTACGCCCCTGTAACAAACACAGCATAAACGAACAACAACATAAAGCACAACAATTTTTAAATTTACTTACTTTACGTGGTTGCCTGCGCGCGCGCATACCTGAAAAAACAACAACATTAAAATTAATAAATAAATCGATCTATCAATCAGTGTCACCGTCCTTCAGCAGCGGTCGTTTCCGCTCGTGCTGCACGCCAGCAGCCTCCTCGTGGCAACAGGGGGCATTCTGATTGGCTGGGACTTAACAAGCAATTTAGCCTTAGGAGGCCGTCACAGCTTTTTGCGGCTAATAATTACAGTATCGAAGCAGTTCCGTTGTAAATAAACGTTCCGAAATGTTGCGATGCATGCAGTTTATTTGGAAGTTATATTATTAAATAATGTCAAATAGAACTGAAAACTTAACTCGCATCTGATACAGGTAGGTGTGCTGCAAAAGTTTTACAAAAGTTGAGCTCTTAAGAACATTATTTTCATAATTTCAATACTAATTTGTTAATATTTATATAAACTAAGTAGATTCAGACATTTATTTTGCCTCAGCAAAAAAACATACCCGGGCAAAGCTCTTATATTTTTGCCACTATTTATTTCGTTGTGGTTATATTTGTGTTTAATAGAGCAACACCGTGTGGACCGTGAAAGCAGCCTCTCTGAGGCTGTTGCTGGGAGCTCCGGCCAATCAAAGCATACAGCGCTCCCGTGTAAGTACTGTGGTGGCTGGGGGGAAAAAAGCATGACATCATGCTCGGCTCCGTCCGTCTCTACGAGTGAAACATCTTCCTTCTACTACAGCAAACAACAGGAGCCGACTGAGCCGTCTGTGTTGTGAATTTGCGCAGGTCCAGCCGTAAAATACACCGAGAGAGCGGCCCCAGTACACCGGAGCGTGCAGCGGAGGCGGGGAGGGGCATCAGCCCGTTTGGGGGGAATGGCGGATGGGGATGCTGTCTTGTCTGTGGAATGGGACAGTGGTGATGAGGGTTTAGCCATGGATCCAGAGAAAACGCTGACTTTCTGCCACGGGCTGCAGACTATGGAGGTAATGCACTGCACAGCTTTACATTTGATGCGCACGCAGCTGTCAGCAGCTGTTCTGCAGAGCAACATGCTTCCCTCGGCCTGTGGGGTTGTTGACAAACAGCAGTGACCTCGGCATATTATTATTATTTTTATTTCGTCACCTTTTGGTCATTACATCTGTGACATACACGAGACAGCACGTGTATTTGTGCACCACTGCAGTCAGTCAGCTTAGGTCTCTGTTTTATTTTATATTTAATTATTTTTAACATTGGGAAGGCTGTCTGTAAGTCTGTGGCCAATGCAAAATATCTGTAAGTTTGACTTGTAGACGTGGTCGTGTACAACGAATATCTTAGACATAACAGGATTGGTGTGCAAATCCTTTAAGAAAAAGCAAAGATTCTTGGTTTATATTAATTTAAACTTAGACACTAAATTAATGAATTTTTGGTTATGATTTGCCGTATTTCAGTTTTAGATTGTAGTTTTCAAGACTTGTGGACAAGTAAAAATTCCTTGTTTAGCAATGTGGCTTAAAAACCTGCAAATGGACAAACAAGAGCTTTTTAATGCAAGACACCTTGTGAATCTTGGCTGTTAAGAAGAAGAACATTATTCTACTGAACTGGGGAAGTGGTTTCTTCAATGACTGTGTTGTTCTCTGCTTTGAGTGTGTTGTCTGAAAGTATTCAGTGAATACAACTCCAGTTCTAAATGAATTGGGAGACTGTGTAAAATGCAGATCTTATAATCCTATATTTTATTTGCAGTCGAACATATAAAACACATCAGATGTTTAAACTGAGACATTTTACTTTATCATGAAAAAATTTAGCTGAATTGAATTTAAGAATTTAAGACAGCAGCACATTTCAAAGCGGAAATGTGGGTAGCAAAAAGCTGGAAAAGTATGTGGTGCTAAAAAAGAAAGCTGGAAGAAAATTTTCCAAATAATTTGGTTAAATGGAAACAGATCAGTAACATCATAGGGTATAAAAAGAGCATCTTAGGGAGGCAGGGAGAGGTTCACCAGTAATGCAGAAAGCTGTCTACAAGTTGCAGAACTATTTCAGAATAATGTTCTTCAATGTAAAATTGGAAAGACTTTGAATATCTCATCATATACAATCCATAATATCATCAAGACTGTGAAAATCTGGAGAAATCTCTGTGTGCATTGAACAAGGCCAAAAAGCTCACGATCTTCCAGCCCTCAAGTGGATCTGCATTTAAAAACAGGAATGATTCTGTCATGGAAATCACAGCAGGGGCTCATGAACACTTCCAGAAATCATGGTGAACACAATTCACCATGCCATGCACAAAGGCACGTTAAAACTCTATCAAGCAAAAACAAAGCCAGACGGGAACATTATCCAGAAAGTCCATCTTTCTCTGGACCAAAGCTCTTTGACTGTGGTGTATTTAAAAAAAAGCTTTTCTGTGGTCAGAGAAATTAACGTTTTAGACTTGTTTTTGGAAAACAAGGACACCACGTCTTCCGTACTAAAGATGAAAAGGAGCATCCAGCTTGTTATCAGTGCTCAGTTCAAAGGTCAGCATCGCTGATGGCATGCACCTGTCGACGTGGCAGTTTTCACATCTGGAAAGACTCGCTCAGTGCTGAAAGAGTTTAGCATTAATGGTGGAGCAACATGTGCTCCCATCCAGAAGATGCCTTTTTCAGAGAAGGCCTTCCATATTTCAACAAGACAACGCTAAACTGCATCTATGACATAGCATGGCTTCCAAATCAAAGAGTTCAGATGCTGAACTGGCCTGCCTGCAGTACAATTTTATGAGATTTGCAATCATTGATTCTATTTTTATTTAAGTTTTACTCAACATCCCAACTTTTTTTTTTTTACAATTAAGCTTTTACATAGCTTGATCTTACTTTAATAAAAAGACTCACAAGAGCTGCTTTTATTTATTTATAGTCAATTACTCATCGTAATATGCAAACTGTTGATGTTGTTAAGATTTTAAAAATCCATCCGTTGCAGTGACCCTTAGGGAAACGAGGGAAAGTACCGTACCTGCTATGCCGTTGAGTGTGTGAGTGTCTTGAGTTGAGTGTCTTGCAACTCCATGGAAACATAAAAGTGTGTCTTTGACCTCTGGCTGGATATGATTTTAAATGTCATTGTTGCTTCTCCCACACATTGCGGTTCCATGATATGGATAAGTTTCCCCCTCTCTACCAGCCGCTGAGTTTCTCACAGGCAGGTCGTAACGTTGTTTTGTTTGCTAGTCTTCTGATTAATTGTTGATTGCTGTTGTTACTCTGTGTGGTTTATTTCACAGGCAGATTAATTGGGTGTCTCTGTTCGGTTGATAAATAGGGCTCCATTTAGGTTGTTTGTATTTGTGATGGTTGACATTGTGAGTAATTATTTACTGTAGCATTGCAGTGACTCTCAAACTGCTGAGGCATGGATAACTAAGGGAAATGAAAGTGAATGAATATGGCTTTTTGAGGGTAAAATAAAGAAGCTTTGCTGATGCTGTTGCATTGACTTTTTAACTAAAATTCAGCTTGGTCATGAGAAAATATAAAGTGTGGAGCATTTTAAGGCTCTGAAGTGGAATGTGCTAGAGAAAGGTCTGAATACTAGAGTGTTTTACACAATGGTTATTTTGGGCTTCCAGTTGCTGATAATTATTTCCTTAGGCAGGGTCACAAGAGGTCAGTCTGAGGAGGTCATTTACCAGAGACACTCAGTGGTGCCTACTGAGCATACATGCAGGAGTGTAGCGACTCAGCGTCTGTCTGCAGACAAATAATCGTTTTTCTGTATTTGTGAATAATAGGTCTCACTGTGACTCTGTGGACTCCAAAAGCTTTATAACTGGCTTTGTACCCTTTCCAGGCTCTGTTTAAGTGATTTCTTGATTCAACAGGTCCACCATTAATCAGGCCAGAGTGTGGCAAGTAAAACTGAACTCATATGGTCAATGTGGTTCATTCATGATTTAACAAGGGGGGGGCAATTACTTTTTCACATAGAGCCAGGTAGGTTTGGACAAATCATGATTTAAAAACATCTGAAACATGTAAGTGTAATAAATATGGAGGGAAAAAAGAAATCAGGAAAGGTGCAAATACTTTTCACAGCACTTTACCTGCACTATTTCAGAGAGGGAAAAACTGTGCAGTACACATGAATGAGTTGTGTTTGTATAAATGTGTCCTGTTGTCGTATTGGACGGTGGTTTCACATGTTGACCTGTTTTGTTGCACTCTGTCCTCCTTGGTTGGCCTTGTTGCAGTAAATATTTGTGTATAACACTTGAGCCTCCTCAGTGTTCTTCCTGCTCGAGGAACTTGGTCTGTTTACATTTTAAACATTGGGGAACTGGTTGACTTTGCTAAGAAAAGCTTTGAAAGTAAAATGATGCCATTTGCACATAATTTTTTTTTTTTTTTTGTTTATTTGTTTGTTTTTTACTATTCTTTTGGGGGGTTTTGTAAGCAAAGTTATGGAGACTTGTCAGGACCCTTGGGTGGAAATCATTTGTGGTTAGTCTGCGGTATCTGAGGAAGCCTGAATGACTTCTCATCACACTTGTATGCATATCCTGTGCCGTGTGGTGGGCTTACCTCTCAGGAAGCACATAGGAACTCAACCTGATGGTATTTATGACAGAACATTTCCTGTCTTGACTCTTTATGTTTTCCATCAGTATAGGCCAAGTCCCCAGAGGTTGTTACATTTGACACTGGTATTTGCAACGGTAGGTAACATAACCCAATATTTATCAGTTCACAGAAGAATCTCTACTGTATTTGTCCAGAATTCATTTTAAAATCTTTCTTTTTAAAAAACAAAATCCTGTTAGGCCTTATTATATCTTTAAACGCCATAGTGTCATAATATCCTAAGAGAGTACTTTGTTCTCAAGCTGTAGGCTTACTTTTGATTCCTTGAGTTTCTAAAAGCAGAATGGGAGGCAGAGCCTTCAGCTCCCAGTTTGTTGAGGGTCATCTCATTACCACATCCAATCTTCTAGTTAACCTCCAAAGGCGTAAGCCTAAATTATAAAAGAGAGCTGAAAGAGAAGGGACAAACAACATATCCAACTACTGCATGTCAGAAACTATTATCTGCTGCCTCTTTGTTTATTGCCTTGTTTATCATTTGTGGTTCCCCTATACTTCCCTTCATTTTCCTTAGTACTTCCTCTTATATCCATGTGGTAGATGGCTGCCCCTCATTGAGGCTGCTTCTGCTGGAGATTTCATCCTGTTAAAACAGCAGTTCTTCTTTCCCACTGTCACCAAATGCTTGCTTACAATGGATTGTGTGAGGATTAGGGTTCTCTTACTAACAATATAGGGGCTTTAATTTATAATATACAGCACCCTGAGACAACTGTTACTGTAAACTGGTGCTGGATAGCTAAAACTGAAATCAAAAATGGAATTGATATTGATATTTGGAGGGAAAGATTTTGCCTGGTTGGTACATCAAGATTAGAATCCAGGAATTGTTTTTATGGAAATTTTAACATTTTGTATCTATCTAATAGACTTTGATTTGTTCATGGAAATGGGGAGTCATCTTCACACACTAAGGTTAATTATGGAGTTCCACTTGGTTCTGTGCAAGGTCCAATTCTGTTTACATTATGCATGCTTCCTTTAGGCAGTATCATTCGAGGGCATAGCATATACTTTCACTGTTATGCAGATGACATCCAGCTTTATCTATCCATGAAGCTAGATGACAAATGCCAAATACTGTATCAAAGACAATGAGGCCCTAATTTCCTGCTTCTAAAGTCAGTCATTGTACTTGGTACTAGAAATCTTAGAAACATGGTGTCTAACCAGATGCTTACTCTGGATGGCCTCCAGGAACACTAAGGACTCTTGGGGTTTATTCATTTATTTTTTCACCAGGATATGCCTTTCAAAACGCATCTTAAACAAATATGTAGGACTGCTTTCTTGCATTTCCACAACATCTCTAAAATGAGAAACATCCTGTCTCAGAGTGACACTGAAACACTAGATTAGAGCTGGGCGATATAAGATTTTTTCATATCACGATATGTTTTTTTCATTTCAGGCGATAACGATATCTATCACGATATAAGCCAAATAACTATATTTGTAAGATTTAAATGTGCCGTTGCTCACAAGTAAAATGTGAAATAATCAGCAGCTTGTTTTTATTTAAATATTTATTTCCCATAATAAGTTCAACAGGGTAGATGTACTTAAGGAACATGAGACTTTTTCAGATAAATAAAGGCAAATATTGCAAACTACACAAAAGGCAGCCGCTAAAGCGTTTAAGTTTCAAAATAGAACAAACGAAACAGACTAAATTGTCAATTCCACTTAGAAACAAATATTAATTCTAAAAATAAATCTTAGTTTGTTTTACAGAAGAACAGACAAAATTGACTAACTTTTGTCAATATCAAATAAACTGAGCACTAAAAGGAAATTCTCAATCTCTCCTTGTTGTATAGCTTAGCTTTTCAAACAGTTTTAACAGTTACTTTAGTCTGACAAAAGCCGAATGACGAATTAGCGCTTCCAGTCAGAGATTGAGCATGCACCGCTTTATTGTATTTCCAGACTTGCTTTCGGCACATTTACAGTGCGCGCTACTCTGTTTTTTGTCAGACTTGAAATAGTCGAAATACCTTCACACTACGGAACTTCTATGGCCCTTCTGTTCGACAATCTCTCCAGCATTGGAACCATCATCTGTTTTCTCTTCGGTAACCTTCGGTCACGCTCTCGGTTGATTTTTCTCTAGTCGGCACACTCATTTCCTCCATTACCCGGGCGGCACGGTGGCTGGCTGCTTCAAACAAATACACATGTGCGGCTTGGCACTTGTGCTGTACGTAACAAGTCACGTGACGTGACGCTGCGGCTGTGATTGGTTCGGCTCTGCGCTACTTAATTTGGATTGGCTGTTGTTCTTTTTTTTTCTTTTTTTTCTTTTTTTTTAAAGAGGACAAGAGAGACGAGGCCTGTCGCAATAGTTTAACTTTTCCTCGATAGAAAAGTTAATTTCGCAATACATATCGTTATCGTTCTATCGCCCAGCTCTACACTAGATCATGCATTTAATACTTCTAGGCTGGACTATTGTAATGCATTGTTATTATCAGGTTGCCCTTAACTCACTGAAAAGCCTTCATCCATCCATTCCCTTCCGCTTATCCTTTTCAGGGTCGCGGGAGCCTATCCCAGCTGTCATAGGGTGAGACGTGGGGTTCACCCTGGACAGGTTGCCAGTCTGTGGCAGGGCTAACACACAGAGACAGACAACCATTCACGCTGGGCAATTTGGATTAATCAATTAACCGATCCCCACAAACTGCATGTCTTTGGACTGTGGGAGGAAGCCAGAGAACCTGGAGGGAACCCACGCAAACATGGGGAGAGCATGCAAGCTCCACACAGAAAGACCCCGGCCTCATGGTGGAGTTGAACTCAGGACCTTCTTGCTGTGCGGCAACAGCGCTAACCACCGTGCCACCCTGAAAAGCCTTTGGTTTATCCAAAATACTACAGCAAATCTACTGACAGAGACTAGAAAAAGGAAGCATATTAGTTTCTCTTTAGTGGCTCCCTCTTGACTGCAGGCTTACTTGTAGTTCCTAGCATATTTAAAAGTATAATGGGAGGCAGAGCCTTCAGCCTTCAGGCTTCTCTTCTGTGGAACTAGCTCCCAGTTTGGATTCAGGAGACGGACACCCTCTTTAATTTTAAAATTAGGCTTAAAACTTCCCAGTTTGATAAAGTATATAGTTAGGGCTGGATCGGGTGACCCTGAATCCTCCTTTAGTTATGCTGCAACGAGCCAAGGCTGCTGGAGGGCTTCCCATAAGATTCCTATCTGAACTGTTTCTTTTCCGCCTATCTTTTTTCACCTACTCACACTCACACTGTTTATACAGCACTCTACATTTACTTTGGATTAATCATTAGTTATTAATAATCTCTGGCTCTTTTCCACAGTGTGTCTTTTCTCCTGTATCCCTCCCGTCACCCCCAGGAAGAAACGTTGTTTCAGGTTTCTTCCTGAAACAACGTTTTTCCCGCTGTTGTGATTTGGTGTAATATAAATAAAATTGAATTGAAAAGCAGTTTTCTATAAAAGCATCTCAAGGAAAGCGGTTGTAATCATATACACATATTTCTATCTACAACCGCACCAGTTTCTGATGAGAAAAATGTGAGTTATGTATCCTTTCCTGTGTCTGCTATAATGCCAGGTACTTATTTGGAGCCTGTCTGCCCTTGTCAGGTGTCAGGTCCACTAATGTCACATAATGTTTTGTGATGCAATGTTAATTGCCCTGTGGATGCATCAGGTGTTACAAGTGGATACTATACAGTACTGCAGAGTTGTGTGCCACATATTATACTAAATAACAGTAAACACAAGTGTCTCTTGGCTAAATACGCTTCACTGTCAGAGAAGCATGTGGAGTTGGATTATTCATGAACGTTTAGGTCACTGACATGAATAGAGAGCAGAGGTGATTCTCTTACTCAGAATAGTTGCACAGATATGTGCGCATTGTACACACACAAAGTATGCAGACTGTGATCAGCACTGTTTCAATCATAATATGAGTGAAGCTGAGCTTTGAGAATAGACGTGGGGTACTTTTCTGATGTTTTATGACTCTAACAGTTAACTAACAGATTAATGAGTAATGAAAATAATTGGTAGTTACAGGCATGTATTTGAAACGGGGAGCGCACAGGGAACGGTTGTATGAGCGACCTTCCCTTCTTTCTTCTTGAAAAGTCAGTAGTAGCCACCGGCTTAATACTGGAAAATGGGTCTTTAGTGGCCAACTTTATATGCTTGAATTACTGTAATAACAACACATCATATCTTTTGTTTTCCCTTTACTTTTTTAAGCTCCATTTTAACTGTTTTCTCTCTCTGCCTTTTACTAGATGACTATGTCCCTGCAAGGGCTGGATGTAACCGAAGAAGCTACGGTAGGGAGTTCAACCTTTAACCACAACTAAATATTGTCCACATGGGTAAAAAGGCCTCAGAGCCTTTTCCTCAGTGGTTGCTATAGTAATGCATAATTATTTGTTAGCACTTGGGTCTTGTGTGGTAACTATGCACATGACAGATTTAGCAACCTCTCCTCAGTGCTTTATTAGTATGGTTTATGGCTTTGCTCAAGTGTCTGAGCTCATTGAGGTTGTTATAATGTAAAAGCTTTGAAATTTGATGGCTTTTTATGATGTGCACATTTTTAATGTTTGGGTTTTCACTTGCTTTAGTTTCTTCCCTTTCTCACTATAGGTGCCTGTGAAACAGATCGAAATGAGCACAATCAATAAGGTGGGAGGCTTTTTAAAACATTTTTTAAAATACTTTTTTACCCGCAGCTGCCATTAAATATGCACTCATATAAAAAGTAAGATTACAGATGCAATAACTGTTTATTTCATTGTTAACAGAAAAGTATCAGAGATTTAATATGAAATATAAAATAATACTTTTCACCTGATGATGCTTTTGATAACTATTTTTTATTTCTAGGGTTTCAGGTACACATAAAAGTGTGTGTGTATCAGTAGTTTAAAGTTTGGTTAGACTTACTGTGTGCTTCATTAACAAACAACAGAAACACACAACTAATAAATGGTTAACTTCATGATCCATCTGTGAACACCAAAACCAAAATAGACGTAAAAAGAGAGAAAGAGAGAGAGGGGACATCATCTACAAATTAAGCAAATGTTGCTTTGTAATTGGAGTGGGGGAAGAAATTGATAGAGCATAGGAATACCAGATGTGTTATCTATACAGGCAAGCTAAATAGATTTACTGTAATTTTACTATTTTGTCAGTAAGGCTGCTTTTTTTTTTTTTTTTTTTTCTGATCAGAGTTTCCACAGTGGATTTTGGATTTTGGACATCTTGGCGGTGCAACGATTAGCACTGGGCTCCAGTTTAGACCTTCCTACAATATTTCCACTGTGGTTACATTGCGATGTGGTGTTTTATCTATTAGATGGCGAGGCATCCAAAGTACTGTCCTGGAGTGAACAACAGTCCAGGTTACCTGTGTGAAACGGGACATTGCTGCGGGGAGACGGGCTGCTGCACCTACTACTATGAACTCTGGTGTGAGTCAACTGACCGCTTCTTCTCTGCTGTGCTACTGAGGAAAGGGTTCTGATTTAATGGCTGTTTATCGTTCATTACTCAGACCTGCTGGGAAACATTCAAGGTGTCCTATTATGCTTACCTGCAGCTCTAAAGTCCTGGTCTCATAATCTACTAATGTTGTTGCCTCTGCCAAGGAGGTGATGTTTTTTATAGCCTTTGGTAGCTGTCATTCTTCCTGTCTGTAAACGTGGTACATTAAAAAGCTTCGAATGAATTCTGATAAAACATCGTAGGCGTGTAGAGTGCGGTCATGTTAACAATCCATTAAAATTTGGCTTACATTCAATTCAGTTTTATTTATGTAACACCAAATCACAACAACATGACCCTATTATTATAATCATAATCATAATAATAATAATAATAATAATAATCATAATCATCATAATCATAATAAACACTCAGACAACCCCAGATGACCAAGCACTTGGTGACAGTTCAAAGGAAAAACTCCCTTTTAACAGGAAGAACCAGAAGAAATCTCTGGTTTCTTTTAATAGACCCATTAAAGCACTACTTTCGATGTCAACTTAATGATTTAATGGTCGAAAACTGACAAAAAACATTCTAACCTAGAAACTATGATGCTTACAAATTAGATGTGTACTGCAAAAACATAGGAAATACCACATTGTCACATTTGACCTCTACTTTAACCTCCTAGGACCTGGCGTCCACATATGTGGTCATCACATTTTGGGTTCTCTAGACCAAAATACAAAATTTTGCTCTACAAGGGCCTGATTTCCACTTACGAGGACATTATACTACCTCTGTTCTATCTAAATTTAAAGCAAATATCCTCATATGTGGATCTCATTTCTCTCAGAAACAAAAATCAGGTAAAAAAAAAAGAAATCTGGTAATTCTTTGTTTTTACATTAATCAGGTCCCAATCAGCCCAAATGGCAAAGAGAATTTAAAAATGCATGCCATGAAAGAGTTCGGGTCTTAGGAGGTTAAATTCAGTAGATTGATCTGAAGGCTAAAGTGTTTTTATTGACAGCATATGGACATATAGGGAACGATATATGGAGATTTTAAATATTATGTTACTTTGGACCGCTGACCTCTCCTTTAAATTCAAACAAAGGTCAAATTTCAAAAATTTAAATTTTGTTAATATTGGCAACCTGTAGGAGATGATACTGTTATGTTCGGATTCAAAATCTCACATTACAGTTTGCATCCAGATTTTATGTCATATTTGACCTCTGACCTCACTTTGATGTTACACATCTTCCTTTCTTGGTGGAGGTTTGCGCTCTTGGAGTGTTTCTAGTTCTTACATGGTTCAGTTTAAAATAATCCTTAATGTTTACGTTCAGTAAGGAAGATCTGTAATCTATCATCTGTCGTCTTGGGGGTTCGGCTGCTTTCTGGTCTTTACATTGCTACCACTTTCCCAACCCTCAGTCTTCATCTTCGCAACCACCCTGGGTGTTCCTGTCCTAAATCCTATCGCTGCTGGGATTCCCCGCTGCCGTGATAGGTCGTCAGAGTCTAGTCACATTCCTCCATAAATCGTGTTCAGTTCTTCCTTATCTCTCCTTATTGAAATGTGCCTTGGTGCGGTGCTTTTATGTGTCCTTCCCCCGTCTTTAAGACAGCTGCTTTAGGATTGGCTCGCTTGCACAAACAGAAAATTTGAATAGTGTGTGCGCTGGGCTGTTGGTTACCTGATGCGCCTGAAAGCTCAATGAGTCCTTTGATAAAAAAGCAAAACTTGTGTGAAAGCCGAGTAAATCTGAGATGAAATTCAGCTAACAGACCTGAAGGTTACGTTTCCTTTGTTTGTTTGTTTTCTTTATCTCGATGGCCACTCATTTCCTGTTTTCTACAGGGTTCTGGCTCTTGTGGACGGTGCTCATCCTCTTCAGCTGTTTCTGTGCTTACCGCCACCGCCGGGCCAAGCTGAGAATTCAACAGCAGCAGAGGCAAAGAGAAATCAATCTGATCGCTTACAACGGCGCTTGCAACTACCCTTCATCAATGCTGGACCTCAGTATGTTTGCTTCATTTTAAATCGCACATGCTGTAGCTTTTGAATACTAAATTAATCAGTTCCACAGACTTTGCATGCGTTATGATTTCCTTGCACCACTTTTTCTGAGGAAATAGAAATATGCCTACATTTAGATACTTCAAAATAAGTCTGTTAACAGGCATCATATGGAAGTAATAAAGCAGTAAATGTAAGCGTGTTTTGTTAAATGAACTGTTTTGTGGAGTTTTTAATTGAGGAAAGAGGCTCATGCTTGTAATGTAACAGCGAGTAAAAATCTTCATATAGAAGCTTTTGGTGTGCACATCAGTCTGTTTGCAACTCACCAGTGTGTGATGCAGCGCAAAAGCCAGCCAAAGGCACAGACAGAACTCAGAGCAAAGATGCATTTGAGGACATGTTTGTTATCTAAATTCTATTATCGGCAAACATCTCTCAAGTCTACCGCAGATTTACTCCATTAGTGATGCTTTCCGTCTTTTGCCTGTGGTGAAAAACTGTGTGGACTGTGATCGATTGACAGCTTCTTGTAAACCTAGTGAAACCTATTTGCATTGTTATTAAACCGTGATCACGCAAAGAATGGACACAGTTAAAAATTACGTTAATCTAGAAGTTTTGACATTTTAGGAAACAAAGTTAAAGGTTATCATTTTGGATGGTCTTTCACATGCTGCGTCATATACGTCCAACTATTCCAGAAGTGGTAAACAAACACCAGATGTAGCACAAGGTTTCATACTTAACTAAAATGTTTTTGCACAGCTAGTTTTAGTTAACTACAATAAAAATAAAAACTAGACTTTTGGAAGGAAAAGAATTAACCAATTTTGTGAACTAAAACAAAATAAAAATGGAGAGCAAACATCCTGAGTTTTAGTATCTGTTAAAAGATGTTATTGCAGCTTGCCTGAGGAGGCTTTGATGGACATGTATTAGAAAATACAAAACTTTGATAACTGATGTAGCAACAGAAATGAAACACAGGAGCTAGAAAACTTTCAAGGGAAACATGAGGTACAGCAGACAATAAGGAAGACTGAACTATTTATAAACTGTGAGTTAATTAGGGAAGTGAAAGACGGCTGGAGAACAAGCACTGCTGAAAGTAATAGGAAAAAAGTTGTTTCTTGAGTCTTGATGTGACTAACTATGGAAGGAAAATAGAAATACAGTGGTGCTATAACACGGTTCACCTTTCGCGGCCTTGCTGTTTCACAGATTTTTTTGTGTGCAATTTTGCATGCTTTTTTTATTTTATTTATTTTTTTACAGTTTTCACAATAAAGCTCAAGATCCTGTTGAGACTTTTCAAAATAAACTGAATCACGTGAAAGAGCAGATTATTTACGGATGACAAGTAAAAAAGAGCCATCAGGTGCTAAAAAATAAACCTTAGACTCAAAAGTTAGAACAGGCTTTTCCCTGCAGCATGTCGTGTAATAAATACTCACAAAGAAAACAGCGGCCGTTACAACTTGCGTCTAAAAATGTATCGTTTCATGCATCGGTTAAAACACTCGACTCCAGCTACATGACGCGCAGCTGGAAACACTTCCGGCAAGTCGAGATTCACAGAATTTACAGAAAATGTTACATTTTTGTGATTTATATCGTTATCGGGACGATAAAATTCTTATATCGGGATATGAGATTTTGGTCATATCGCACAACCCTATAGTGAGGGGGTTTTACAGCCTTAAAACATCTATAATGTAAAAAATAAAGTTAGCTACTTCGTGGATTTCACCTATCGTGGGTTATTTTTAGAACGTAACTCCCGCAATAAACGAGGGACCACTGTGACCCAAAGGAAAACGACTTACAACAGAGATAAGAACCTAAAACACAAAAACTAAAAGACTTCAGGAGAACAAGAATAAAGTAAAGCCAGAGATCACTCTATAGAATAGTAAAGAATTCAAACCCAAAACTTGAAAAATATAGACATCACATGCTAGAATAGCAGAAACACCTTCAGACAGAAATTGGGAAGGAAAAATTCACAGATTCTAAAAATAACACAAAACCAAAGGAGCGTGACGCCAGCAGGTTCACACTCATACCCATCTCACCGTGAAGCTCCCTCTCCGCCCTGGCATGTGGGAGGAGTAAGCTTTGACTACAAATGAGCTTGCCACACCACACCAATGAGGCATAACCCCATGAGAAAGCTAACTGACATGTAACACTAGTCTGCGTACCCGGAGCTGAAGCCTAAAAGTGTGTTTCTTTCGTCACAGGTTTTCTGGCTTCCTTCAAGTTGCCCTCTTACGAGGAGGTTGTTGCGCAGCCCAGCACCCCTCCCCCTCCTTACAGCTCCATCTTTGCACTGCAGGGAGGTGCCACAGTAGGTCCTAGCTCCTCTTACCCCCATCATCACCACCACCGTCACCCCTGCCCTCCCTACTTGGGCCCCGGCCCCAGCGGTCTGACCTCCTCACAGAGCTCTGATAACTACACCAGCTGCTCCTGTGAGTCTTGCTCCCTCACCTCCCCATCCAGCACCTCCTTCTCTGTCCAGGTGACGGATGAGACGTATGACAGCAGCCACATGTCCACGCCCAGTGAAGCAGGAGGAGATTTGGCCGTGGTGCCAAGGGTCGGGGTCCCCTTCACGCTGATGCCATCGCCACCCTCGCAGGTTCCACCTGATGTTATACCTACTGTCACTCCAGATGTCATTCCGGTGCAGAGATGTTCCTCTAACGGTAGTGAAGGAGTCTCGCCTCCATCTCATCCACTTACTCTCACTTTGCACTCCCGTCCTTCACACTCCTCTCGCCTTCCGCTCTCTCCCCTCTCGCTGCTATCTTCAATTCCCGCTGGTCAAGTCCACCCTCTCGTTCCATCGGACCCACTCGAAGCCATGGCTCTTCAGAGAGCGAAAGAAGAGACGTCACCTCATGATCCAAAAACCAGGCCCCTGCACTCAGCTCCTAAGCAGGCTCTCCTCTTATCAAACGTGGCTGTCTCTGTGCACTGCGGCGGCAAGGAGGAGCAAAAAAGGGAAAAAGAAGAAGAAGAGGAGGACGACGACGAAGACGAGGATGAGGAGGACCATTTCCGGCATCGACGGCTGACGGGTGACTCGGGTATTGAGGTGTGCCGCTGCCATGTGAAAAGAGGGCAACAAGAGGATGAGGAACCAAAGAAGGGGCGCTTCGATAAGGGAGGGAAAGATGTCGTGAAGGAAGGGGAGAAGGTGCTGCAGGACGGCGTGGACTGTTCCCAGCAAAAGAAGGTCGCCGCACAGTCGTCCAGCACGGACGACTGCGCGGAGCAGCGCGGCCATGTCTCTTCGCCTTCTAGCGTCATCATTAACAGAAACGAGGCTATCATCACTGTGGAGTCCCTGTAAGTAAACAGCCATGGAAGGAAGGAAAAGTGGGATAGCATGTGTAACCGGATGAGTGACGAATTAAAGGAAAAAAAGAAAGCGATCGGTCTTAGGGAAGATTTGAGCTATCAGAACAGATTCACTGCATCTTAGTGTTGGTTCTACAAATCTCTGTAAATCTACTGAAGGGATGGCACACTATTTTTTTTGTCCTTTTTTCTTTAAAAAAAAAAGGGGCATTTGGATGATGGTTGTAGAAAGTCTCCAAAATCTTCCATTAGTGTATAACTGAGCTGAGATCAGGTGACTGCACAGGCATTAGCAAAATTATTGACATGATTTTCATACTCATCCAACCACCCTGTGACCTCTGATGGACCGCCCTGTGGATGGGGACAACCCTGGAAGACTACTACGTTAATAAGACGAGTGAACTATACCAACAGCTTCTGGGTTTTCCTTTAATTTGTCATCCGCCTGTCGATGAAGACTTAAGAAGTGAAAAATGTGATCACTGAAGAAAAGTCTTGGAGAGCTTACAGAAATGTCTGCAAGCCATCAGATCGGATGAGTAACATTTTTAGGAGGGGGTCTCTGTATTTTATTTTGGGATCCCCAGACCTCAAAGTTCTTGTGATTTATAAGAGATGATTTGGGTTTGTTGTGGAGTACGAGGTGTTCTTTTCTTAAAATGCAAATGGCTCAAAATCCTAAAAATAATTCCACTTTCTGCATCCTTTTCTTGCTAGAGCCACTATGATAAAATGTTTGTCAGTGTTTCTCTGTACGAAGCATCGAAGCAGCATTTTTAGCTCTGAAATGGAGCTCGCATCACCGGCTGCCAGCCTGTGGATATAAAATATTCTGACTTTTGTCAAATCCACACATTTTAACATAAAATATTGGTCATCTTTTTAGGCATTTAAACATTGAAAGACCTTTTCTTTTTTTTATTGGAGCCCACTTCCCTTATCATAGATAGATTGATTCAGTGGGTCAGTGTTTTATACCTTGTGTCTTATGTTGCCTCCTTCTTAAAGATTTTTTTAAAAAGGGGGGCGGGTACAAACTTTAATTAAATGTGCAGGTGGCAAAGCTTTACTATGATATTGTAGTTATACATTATAGTTTCAGACTGTTACATCAGTATACTGTATACTTAGCCAGCTGTTTGTCTTTGGGTTCAGTGCAGTTTTAACGTGCTCCTGCCTTTTGCAAGGCAATATCACTCTGAATCCTCGTGTTGAGTTTTTTACTAGGCGCACACTTTAAGCCTAAACTGATAATGAATGTAAAAGGTTATGCATTGCAACAAAAAAACGCACTCAAAGCTGTTTTTTGAGGATTTTTTTATAGCATGATGCTCGACTGAAAGCTTTTTGTTTGTTTGTTTGTTTGTTTGTTTTTAACAAAAAGAAAAAAAATAACAGAGTTATGCCAGCGTGGCAATCCAGTCTGTAGGCGTGTGCTTCGAGAAGTCACTTTGGAAAGACGTGCCCATCGTGATGACTGTTTGTGTCGAGTGATGCTTGTTAAATATCAAAGGTGTAAATGTACGATGGAAGCATCTGAAGTCACAGAACAGAATCTCCTTTATTTTAAATACTGCTGTGGCAAAACGGGATTTCGCAGAGTCAGACTGTTTTTCTCTAAATGCCTCCTGGTTGATGACTAGTTGACATCCAGAGCAAGGCCAAGGATTACATTAGCCTGCCATGCTCACCTGGCGGGGGATAGCACATACGTTCTCTCTCGTAGTTATCTGTCAGTACAACAATGTGCTCAAAAATAAACGGAGAGCGTCTCACAACACAATTTGTACATGTTTGTCTTGCCGTAGTTGTTATTATGAGACAAGGGTCTCAGTAGTTCGCTGACTGGAGGCCACTTTTTTCGTGTCCCTAGTTGTTTAATGCCTAAGGGCAAAGCTTTTAACTCTTAGTAGTGTGGAGAGAAATCTAATTTAGCACAGTTCACTCCTAAAAAAGAACAAGTCACATTTGCTCTTTTGAACATTCAGATGTGAGTTTGCATGGAAGTTTGAGTGGCAGTTTGCTTTCTGATGATCTCTTGATGATCATCTTCAAAGCACCTCTGCAGTGACTCGCTGATGGCCTGACAGAGATGGTTCATCCTCTGGACATACTGGCAAAAAAGCCTTTTTGGAGCCTTGCGTTTCTTCTCATTTTCATTAGTTTTAGGTAATGTGTGTCGTTGATCAGTGGTGCCTAGTTGAAAAAGTATTTTTCTGTTAGGAATCCGTAGTTTCCCAGCTAATCTGAGCGTGTGCGTGCGTGTGTGTGTGGATTAGGAATAGCTGTAAATCGAATGGCGAAAATATTTTCTAAGAGTACTTAGCAGTCTCTTTTTAAAATGCTCATATTACATGTGAGACTTGCAAAAATAGTATTTAGCAATAGTATTCACACTTTTTTTTCCTTATTCTGGTTTATGCTGGCTGACAGGAAATGAGATGAACTGAAATGACATTTACCTCTTTATGACTCATATGCTAGCTGTGCTGGGCAAAGGCCCTCGATTGTACAAACACAGCAGTTTTTAAAAAAAATGCCTTTGGCGTAAGTGCAAGCTTATATTATCGGGTTGTATTTTAAAGCCCCAGTGTGTGTCTTGCATGTTACTGACCTTAAACTTTAGTGTTTTGTATTGATTTTTTTTTAAGCTCATCTGACTGAAGGTTCAGTGCGCTTACGCCATAGCGAGGCATCCGTCGTCCGTTTGTCCCACCGCAATTCACAAGAATCCATACTCCTCCCAGAGTACTGGTCAGATTTTAATGAAACACAGTGATCACCTGATGTGTCTTCACCCACACTGTGCTCAAGGTCAAGGCTGTACAAGTCATTTTTACAAGAATCGCTTCTCCTCCTGGAGTATTGGTCTGTCTTTAGTGAAGCAAGGCTAGATAATCCTGGATACGACTGTTTGTGAGCCTCCTTGACTTCTCCCTCGACTTTAATTATCATTCATTTGTGCAAAAGAGCCGCACAGCTTTCTTTCTGTACTTCACACATTACAACAACCTTTGAACTGTGATGGATCATGAAGCAAATGAGCTGTAATGTCACTGACGCTTTGGTTAGTGAGTGCTTAGTTTTTTTACATTTTATTGTAGATTTTAATTAGGATAATTGTCTTAAGGGGCATCATTCTGTTTTAAATTTTACACTTAGAAAAGAGGCCAAAAAATACCATTTTTATATGGCGTCCTCTTGATATTAGTTTAGAAAGTATCCATCCACTTTCTTCCGCTTATCCAGTTCAGGGTCATGGAGGCTTAGCTGGAGCCTTTGCCAGCTGCCATAGAGCAGAGGTGGGGTACACTCTGGACACGTTGCCAGTCTCATATTCATATGAATGGGCAATTTACAATGCTTGGAGTCTGAGAGTAAGCCAGAAAGAACAGGGAAAACATGCAGACTCCCAGAAACACTTCATGGATTTGAACCCAAGACCTTCTTGCTGTGAGGCAACAGGTTCAACCACTGCACTACTGGCATAGAAGCTATTAACAAAAACACAAAGTTAGCGTGTGGATCTATCGGATACTAGCTGAGGTGGTTCAGGCATCCGATTAGAATGCCTCCTGGGTGAGATTTCCTGGGCATGCCCCCGTGGAAAGAGGCCCCGGGGTAGGCCCAGGCCACGCCGGAGACACTACGTCCCTCAGCACTGCCTGGGAATGCCTCGGTGCTTTCCCCGAATGAGCTGAAGGAGGTGGCTGGGGAGAGGGAGGTTTGGGATTCCCTTTTGATCCAGCCCCAGATGAGCTGGTGGAAAGCGGATGGATGGATGGATGTTTAATTTCTATGACTGAACCTGAACAAGATGGTGAAACATAGGAGTCACACACTGGGGTTTATTGTATCCCGACTCCTGCTTTCATTTGACGTCAGTGTAAATAGAAGCGGTTTGATTTGTCTCGCCTTGTCAGAAGCCAATTTGTGTGGAGAAATATGCCCCAGATTTTACCTTTGTTACCACTCTTTGGCCAAGGCCTGATATAAGACTGTTACCTCGCTCGAGTTTTGACTGTAAAGGACTGTTCTCTCCTTCTGAAGATAGTATCTACTATATATTTGTACTGATTTTATTTTGTAATGCCAAAAGTTAAAGAATTGAATAAAAATACAAAAAAAAAACCAAACCTCACATTGGTACAGCCGTTGAACCATTTTGCCAGAAAACAAAAAACAAAACATCCAATCCTTTTGATTCAGGATAACTCAAGACTGTCTCCTTCTACTCCTGCAGCTACGAGACAGCAGCATATATAGCAGTATGTATATGTGACTGTACATGGAATAGTTCCGATTAATATTACTACAACATGTGGTGTACTTTGAAGGTATCTTTGTGCAATTCTACCTGCGGCTCTTCAGCGTGTCGTACGTATGTGTGAGAGAGTAACCGTGCCGTTTTCTTGTTAAAAATCACTGTCGCTTATTGTGAGGATAATGTTGAGTATAATGTTAACATAATAACTGTCGATTTAAAAAAAAAAAGCCAAAACTTTTTCGTGTCATCATGGATATCAAGTTGATTTTGTATCTTGGTGTAAAGCAGATTCAGAGGTTTCCGATGCATACTGAGTGAGATGTTCTCACGTTTGTTGTGTCTGTTTGGTTGCACACCATCATGTTTTTTTGCTTTGTTTGTTTGGGGGGGTTTTTTTTTGTTTTGTTTTTTGTTTTTTAGAAGGTGGGGTTGTATTTAGATTTCTTCCATCTCACTGATCATCACTGAGATTCTGCGATATTGGACGCAGACGTCTGCTTAACTCTATTGAACAGAAAACTGTGGATTTTGTGTCAAAATAAATGTGCTACCAAATACATGTGTGTACTTCTGCTTCACATTATACGCGCCTGTAGTTCTCACATATTCTGCTGTGAAATACACCCGATCTGCCGCCTGACTAATCTCCTACTCGTGAGTATCTGTCGCCGTGAATGACTCAGAATAAATCCGGCAGTCAGCTCTGACTCTGAGAGGTTTTTGACTTTTCCGAAGTTTGATATCTGTGTCCTTGCCTTGCTGGCAATGCAACAGTGATGATCACAGCACAAAGTATAAGAGGCTGAGAAGTGATCCTCTATACTCTAATCAGCCACTTTATTAGGTACACCTTGCTAGTACTGAGTTAGACCTATTTCAAACTTCACATTTGCTTTAATTCTTTATGGCAAAGGTTTAATGAGGTTTGGTGTATTATGCATTCAAAAATGAGTGGTTGTTTTAGTTACCTTTTTCTTTTCTACCTGCTCAAAGCCGGCCACTCTCGGCCACTCTCCTCTAACAACTGTAATCAGCAAGAACTGCCTCTTACTGGACATTTTCTCTTTTTCAGACCATTCTCTGTAAACCCTAGATATGGTTGTGAAAATCCCAGCAGATTAGCAGTTTCTGATATACTCAGCTGTCTGACACCAACAATAATACCACATTAAAATACACTTAAATCACATTTCTTCCTCATTCTAATGCTCAGTTTGAATTCCACCAGGTCAACTTGACCATATTATTTCAACCTTTTTTCTTTAAGGAAGAAAGAGAGCCTATTCGACCTGTCATAGGATCAAAGGCAGGATATGAACGGGTCGTCAGTCTGTCACAGGGCTAAAACATCTCTATGTTTGTGCTCACATTCACACCTCTGGACAGTTTAGAATCTCTAGTTAACCTAATCTTAACCTAATCTTTCTTCCTCCCGCAGTCCAAGTACCTGGAGAGAATCCAATTAGAAAGGCCCCTATTAATAAGCAAGCAGCTGTACCCAATGAAGTGGCCAATGCGTGTATTTTCTCACTTATACAAGTTTTGAGCTTACGTGTTACCTTTGAAAAGGGACACGTCTCCAGTGCTGAGCTTCACTTCACTGCCCTGACTCAAAACAACAATAATACTCTTATTTCACAAACTCACACACACTCAGAGTAACCGAATCGCTCAAATCTGCTGTCACAATCTATAGTCATACATTCCTAAGTTAATATGCATTTAATAAAATGCCTACAGCATCAAGTGAAGAAAACATGGATAAACCGGTTCATCGATGGCATGATGGTATCAGTGTGTACCACCCACATTCAACGACACGTGGAGGTGGACCCACTATCACCGTGGGGGGAAAGAAAATGAAGAAAATATGCACCGTGATCCAACATTTGGCTAAGCCAGTGAGTAAACAGGCAGGCCATTACAGTGAAAGAATAGTGTGACAGTGACAAATACTACGGGCCCATGTGATCAAACATACTTTAACGCCACCTAGCGGTGAGATTTCAGATGACATAAAAAGGTGTTCAAATGTGGATTATCACGTTTTATCTATTTATAGCAAGTTGATCAATGTACAGTAAGGAGTCACAGAGCAACTTGCATGTAATCAGATACAGACCAGGGCTGCATAAAGCCTCAAAATCAACAAATATAAATAAAAGTATTAATTGTAACACTAGTAAAATTCACAAGGATTGTAACAGTAGAAGCAAAAGAAGCTAGAACAAGGCTGATCCAAATATCTGCACCACTAACATCTGTTCTCCAATCATTCAGTGGCCCCTGCAGTAATGTGACTGAAGAGTCTGCATTTCAAAGAAAACTACTTTAGGTACTCATATCAGGGACAAACAGGCACTGTGCGATGGACGGTTTCTTTAAAATCTTTATTGGTCTTAAATAATTAAATATATGTGTAACAACAAAAAGATGAGTAAGCCTATATATAAAAGGATATAGCGCATCAAAAGGCAAGTAAACACACACAAACTACCCCATAGCCCTACTTTAAAAGTATAATAATTAAAACAAAACCGATCATTCATGCATAAAAAAAACCCTGACGTAACCTCTCTAACCATTCTGATGAAACTCTGCTGGGCGGTAATCCTGTTGAATAGAAGTGGGCGGAACAATACAAATATGTTAGTATCGATACCAACACTGGAATTTCAGAGCTACCAGCGTAGTAGGATTGTTACTTTGTTTCTATCCTCTGAGTTCAGCATGTGGTCCACTGATCTGTGTTAAACAAATTATTTTTTGGAAATCAAAAATACACAAAAAAAGAAAGGCAGAAAGGTGAGTTCTTGCTGTCTTAACAAATTATTGTGGAAAGTAAAAGTCGTAGTGATTTAGTTGTCATTAAAATGTGTGAATTTTCAGAGTGACACTGCTCTCACGCTGCCTTTACGGGTTAAAAATATCGCTATCAGTATCGGTATCAGCAGTTCTGGCCCTGTATTTACTTGGTATCGGATCGATATCAAAAAACAGCACTGTTTGGGTATTTTCCGTTGGAGACGTGCAGACGTTTGCTGCTCTGTGATTGGTCGCTAGGGATTAGCACCCACCCCCTGCGCTGACCACTCCCCGTCCGCGTTTTCGACACGTGACTCCTCTCGCGTCGCTCCTGCAAAGTTAAAAACAGACTTTGTTTATCTTCCAGGCTGTTTGATGAAATGCTCTTCAACTAGTTCACCCGCTTCCTTCCCCCCACAGCGTGATTGTTTTTTTTTAACTTTACACCCCAGCTGTGCACGCGGACAAGAGGACTGAACTCCTCCATCTCGCGCCTTCACTCATTTTTACTCATCTTTTTTTTACTCCTCTCTAAGCTAAGCACGAAAAAGACACTCCAGCGTCTCTCTTGCCCGTAAAACTCGCAGTAAACGAGGCTGCTGTGCAGAGGTTTGACCTGCAGGACTGTTATTTATTTATTTTTATTATTTTATTTTAGTGGGGGCCCTCTTGCAGCTAACGGCAGCTCGACGGGAGGAGGAGTGCACCGCCAGGGGTTTTTAATCGAGCATTTGAAGAGAGAGAGCGCCATGGCGACCGACATGGACACCGCTCCTCAGGCCGACGGTGAGTGGGTCCAACCTCGATGCGAAGCCTTGGAGAAGCAACCACACAGATAGGGCCTCCTCGCTCGATCCATTGTCCCTCCTCGCATGGGACTGTCTGCAACGCCAGCCATGCTCCCACTACCATGTGCTCCGTTTAAAAAACCAGACACGCACACACAGGGAGGCGGTGGTGGGTGCAAAAGATTAAAAATAAATCTGTGCACTGTAGCGCAGATTTGCGTTTTCGACTCGCACCAAACCCCATTTGTATTTTTACTGTTTTTTTTTCTTTTGTAAGCTTGCTGTTGGTCTGCTTTTACATTTAACCCTTTCGCGCTTTTGATTGGACGAGATCGTGCTTACTTCCGCTTTTGCGAGTCGTCGTTGAGACTTTTTCTTATAGTCCATCTTCGATGCCAAGGAAGCGCGCACACACAAAAACGAACAAAGAAAGGAGTTTGTGTTTAAGCTGACAGACACGATTCCTCCGTCTGTGCGTGCGCGTGGCACCATGTCACCCTGCGTGTTTTAAAAGCTGTGCAGGTGGCATTAAACCTCAATATCCTGCACCAAGTCATATGTTGAGATCCGGGTTTGCGGAAGATATCACCGTGTTTGATCATAGATATAAACGAAACCGAGGTTGCTTGTTTGTTTTTTGCGTTCTTGGGTTATATGAGCGATGGTTTTGATGATCATTGCGCTCTATTTGTTGTTGTTGTTGTTGTTATTGTTGTTTTATGGTAACATGACCCACATGGTTTCGACGGTGATGTGGAAATGTACAGCCCACTCCAGAATACGAGCCAACAGCGAAACCTTACATAAGCTCTGCGTTGCAGTGCATTTAAGTGTTACATAAGAAATGCATTATTAGCGCCAAGGTTGTATGGATCACACTTACCATAATCTTCCATTGGTTTGTTTGCCTGAAAACGCCCTGCAGCTGCCTGTCCCAAGGTTGTCTGTGCAGACTGTATGTGTGTGTGTGTGTGTGTATATGTATATACATATATGTATGTATATGTGACACCCCACATGGTGCATTATTGGTATGTCATAGTAGTGAGAGCATGTGTGCACGGATGGGTATTTCTGCATTAACTTCCTTGAAGGTCAAGCCTCATTGATGAGGTTGCGACAGGCACCGTCAAAGAGTCTATTGTCTGGCTTGGAAAACAAGAAGAACGGCTCCTCGTTAGGTCGTGGATCAGTCTGAGCTCACACAGCAGTGGGTGTAAAGTCGTATTAATCCGCCCAGATGATCGGACCTTTAGGCCGTTTCTGTCAGTTCTGCAACAAGGTGCTGCTGTTAGGTGTTAATTAAGGTGTAATAAGATGAGTTATTAGTGGCTGAAGTGATGGCTTTGCACTGCCAGAACATCCCATCTACTGGGTTTAAATGGGAACTTCTGCAACAGAACAAGCCTCTCCTCACTTTCAAAACTGTGTCAAGTGCAAAAGTATTTGACCCTGGAAATAGTTTTGGAGCTTCTTGCAGCTTTTATTCTTATTACACCAACACAATCGACTAATGGCAGCGCAGCGTTTGCATTTATCCTCCTCTTTATGGTCATTTGGCACGGATTTAAAAGGGCTTCTATAAAAAAACTTGGTCTAAAAATTAGACACTGCCCCTGTGAGCAGGATGTTTCCCCACAGTGTGGGAGCAGGTCTGTGATCTCTTCAGAGAGAGAGCATGTGTATATATGTGCGTTAAGGGCATCGTGGCCATAAACATCACGTTGGACCTCTTTGTGGCTGCTCTTCTTTTGTTACCTCTTCACATTTGTGAAAAACATGTTTGCACACACCATCAGGCCCTTTAGTTCGTAAGCTGAGCAAACCGCCCGTGCTTGACAACACACGAGTGATTGGCTGATGATAACAAAACGAGCCATCAGCCTCTCGACTGTTTATCAGAGTAGCTCTAATCTTTTGTGAGCACTTTATCATTGTCGTTGTTGTTCTGCAACCAGCAAACG